CGTGACATTGCACATCATCAATAAAGCCCACTGTACCCCCCCAAATAAAATAAAACAAAAACATGACATTAAATATGGAAGTAGTTGAATTCATTAGTTGTATCTTTTGAGCTGCCAATGAAAGTTAGCAGGTTAAATGCAATACTCAAATACTCTTGCCTGGTAACTGTTGGCTTTATGAAATGTAGACTATATCTTATTTTTTGGAGTTAGTTTATCTGGATAGTTATACATGATCTTTTGAATTGTCTGTTGTCAGAAATAATGTGTTTCATTTCAAGTAACAGAAACAAACTAGTTTTTAAAATAGTGAATCAAAACACAAAGAAAAAGAAACATTGGGGCTGGCAAGATAGTTCTGTGGTCTAAAGCTCCTGCTTATGCAAGCTTAGGCAAAGCACAGGGACCTCCATTTGATCCCTGGCACCACATGATGTGCCAGCTCCATCCCAGGGTGGGCTGAGCCGGCCACACGGCCACATACTTGCATGCGCGTGCGCAGACACACACACACACACACTCATTAAAGTGAGTCTCAGGATAGTGGTTGGCTGATTTGAGTTTTTGTTTGGAGTTAGTGAACTTTCACCCTCATTTATCCATAGTGTCATGTAGCATGAACCCAAAAGATGGGCTCCCATATGCACTGGTATGCATCTTGGATCTTGGGTGCCAGCTAAGTGGGCAGGAGTTTCCTCCTAACTTGTGTGAGTGAGGAGAAACAGGAGGCATCATTTATAGAAGGAACTTTCTGGAGTAGCTCTAGATGTGTCACTTGCATTGACTTTAGGGGACTGTCAGTCACATGCATTTCCTTGAGAAGGGTGATGAGCATCAATATTCATTTATAAAAACGTTACATTTTCTATGAAATAACAATATATTGAAGTCATTTATTAATTGCTAAATTATTAAAATTATTGCACATACATATGGAATGAGTTCAAGCTCCTTGAGAGATTTATGTGAACTGATGCAGAGTTTATTGGATTCAGGTAAAAATTAACATCTTTAAAAATTAAAAATGAAAATAGAATTTTTAAAAGACTATAGAGCAAGTCAGATGTGGTGGCACATGCCTGTAATGCCCACACGTAGGAGGCTGAAGCAGGAGAATTGTCATGAGTTTAAGGCTAGCCTTTGCTACACAGCAACACCTTGTCTCAAACAATGACAACAATAATAAATCAAAATTACAAAGTGTGCCTCATATAGTAAGGAGAATTATTTCAAACTTAAATCATATACCTAAATGTTTTTCCAGTTTGTGTTTTTATTAGTATAGGTAACGATTACAATTCCTGTGAGGAATTGTTATATGTACATAACCCATCTCAATTCTTTTTTCATTTTCTTTTCCTCCCTTACCTCACCACTCCATGTCTTGATCTCATTTGAAAAAACTCTGTTTTCCTCTTTTATATTATCTATGTTTTATTTTATTGTTTATTTATATTATGGGTTTCCCATATAAGAGAAGCCATGCGATGTTTAAACTTGTATATTTCAATGACTTTACTTAAAATTAGAGTTTTTTCTTCTTTCTTTTTTTGGTATCAGGGATTGAACTCAGGACTTTGTGCTTGCCAGGCAGGCTCTTATGCCATTGAGCTATATCCCTGGTCTTAAAATTATAGTTTTAAGATGTATCCCCTTTTCCTACACATGACTCAGATTCATCCTTTTTAATGGAAGAATAGTATTCCATTGTATGTATGAATGAGTTTCTTTCTTTTTTTTGGTGGAACCAGGGTTTGAACTCAGGCCCTTGCGTCTGCCAGGAAAGCGCTTATTCTACTGAACCATCTCCATGGCCCCCATTGTATATAAATACTGTAGTTTCTTCATTTGTTGATGGACGTTTAAGTTACCTCCAAGATTTAGCTCTTATGAATCATGGTGCTCGGAATGCATGCATCAGTGTAATATGATGTCTTAAACTCTCAGGGAGATACCTAGCCTAGTAAAAGAGTAGCTAAGCAAAATGGAATTTTTCTTTTTTTAAAATCTGGTCTTTGCTATTTCCAGCATCTCCACCTTCCACAAAATGGGTGGTCATTTTCTTCCACCTCATGGAGATGATAACTTGAATGACCACAGGAAGTTATTTGCCTCTTTGAAGTGTTTTTCAACAGTATAGATCTAATGAATTAGATCCTCCATGCAGATGATGCCATATTTACCAAGCAATTGAGCAATCAATGAATTATCTGTCAAGGCAATTTGCTTCTTATTGTTTTTTCCATAGCCATGCTTGTGTATTAGTTCATTTACTGACTTCAGGTTTGGGTACCCCCTTGCAATGTATGCCTCCACCATTCTCAGCATGTGGACCTTTGGGCTTATACTGTATCCCTGATCCAGATGACAAGTGCCAGTTTGGGCTCTGCAGGGACATACAAGTTGTCAGCTTTTTTTTTTTGCCATCGTGGCCATTTGGATCTCAGTTCTGTACGTATGTCTGTACTCCTTATAATAGTGCCTGACTTTTTCATAGATGAGCTTCCTCCTTGCCTTGTGAAGCGTCTTCTGGGTAAACTTCTTTCTCAGGCACTTTATCTTCAACTCTGTGAAATGTCTTTGCTTTTTCTTAAGGGTTTCTGGCACAGCAGGAACCTTCTTTTTCTTCTCTTCTACACCCTCCATGGCTCTAGCCGGAAGTGAAATGGAATTTCTAGTTGCAGTTTTTGAAGAATCTCTGTAATGAGTTCCATAGTAACTATACAAGTTCCATAGTAACTATACCAGCAAAGTAGAAGGGATTTTATTTCTGTACCACCTCACTGGCATTTGTTACTATTTGCTTTCCTAGTGATAGCTATTCTTTCTGGAGTAAAATGGAATCTCGGTGTTGTTTTAATTTGCATTTCTTTTATGGCCAAAGATGTTTAATGTTTCTTCATGTGTTTGTTGATCATATGTACTTCTGGGAGGGGTCTTTATATATTATAGGTATAGTTCTCTGTCTGAGGAATAGCTGGTAATTTCTTTTCCCATTCTGTAAATTGTCTCTTTATTCTGTTGGTTGATGCCTTTGTTCTACAGAAACTTTTTAATTTGCTATGATCTCGTTTATTGCTTTGTGGTACTATTTTTTTGTGTCATTGGAATTTAGTTGAGAAAAGTCTTTACCTACATTTGTGTCTTTAGAAATTTTACCTATTTTATTGAAATATTTAAGTAATATGGTACTGGTTCATGGCATAGGTTGTACTGTGCTGTGACCTGCAGTTGAAAAAAATGTGAAGAACTACTTCTTTAATGGTTTAAGGTTTTTTTTTCCTCCAATTATTTTCAGGTTTGAACTGAATTAGAATATTTGCTTTCTTCTTGCCACTCTACTGTTATAATTTGTTTGTAATGAGTGATGGAAGATTGTAAAGTACTCTGTGGATTTTTTTTTTTTTTTTTTTTTTTTTTTTTTTTTTGGTCATTGAGCAGTTCTTGATGTTACAAAACAAAATAGATCTTGGGGTCAACATTTTGTGAAATTACTTGGAAAGTTATTTATATCGCTGTGTGCAGGAGCCAGGTAATAAAGGACTATAGCCAAAGAGTTACATTCTGTAAAATAATTATGTGCATTTCCCTAGGAGAGATCAGTCGTGCTTACAGTACTTGGAAACACTAGAATTTGTTGTTAGTGACATGCTGGTCTTCTGGAAGGGTTTTTCTTTTTATATACACAGTTCTGATGCTTCAGAATTGTAGGGGTGATGAGAAATGCAAAGAAATTGTGTTTTTCACTATGTTGTTCTTATATAAGTGGTTGTTGAGCCTAACAGAGGAAAGTAGTTAGTGTAAAAACTTCTTGGGGGGCTGGGGAGTTAGCTCAGTAGAGTAAGTGCTTACCTGGCAAGCACAAGGGACTTAGTTCAATCCCTGGTTCTGCCAAAAAAAAA